CTTCGGCAACGTTTAAGAAGCGTTGCGAAAAGTCTACATTTTGCAACGTTTTATAAACGTTGCGAAAGACAACTTTTGTAACGTTTAAAAAACGTTGCGAAAAGTCTACCTTTTACAACGTTTAAAAAACCGTTGCAATAGATAGACTTTTCGCAACGTTTTTTAAATGTTGCAAAAACTAAAACATTTCGCAACTTTCCAAAAATGTTGCGGAAAGTATCATTGGCAACATTTATTTTAAAAATGTTGCTAAAACTCAATTTCAATGACTAATTGCAACATTCACTTATTCAAATGTTGCAATAGACCCTTTTAGCAACACTTAATTATCGAATGTTGTCTTTTATGTGTTGCAATAGACCATTTTTGGTGTAGTGAACAATCATAAAGACTAGAGCTACAGGGATATAAAGTCATTCATAAATACTACTATATTTACGACATTTGACTTAACAGTTTAATTAAATGTTTTATCAGGCAAAGGACCCATCGTAATAATTATTTATATTATTTTATACCTCTAGCACACAAATAAACAAACATATAATTGTGCAAACGATTATGGACTAATTTTATCTAGCCTTTTCAAGCCAAAGGGAACACTGATCAGTTAGTTCGTATAAGGCATAGCATTGACTCATTCAATGCTCAATCTCCATGGTCTCCTCTTCTTGCTTTTTCAATTAGTCCAACTTCAACATGTGTCTTATGCTAGTTTGTAGTATGCCTAAAAAATTGGACACAAATGCTCATAATAATAATAATGGACTCGTAGGTCCAAAAAACATAAGAGCTCGCAGGACCAAAATCAACAAGTATGAAACTAATCATTCAATACATCTACATGGTTGAGTCTATAGTCATCAACTAATTAAACATTTATCATACTAATGCATTCCTATATAATATCTAATATTATATATAAACTAAATTCAAGTTTCTAGCAATTAAGGTCACCTAAACTAATTTAGACAGATGGATGTGAACAATTAATTAATTTACTGTCTCTTATGATGCAATCTGGCATTTTCCAATATTGTGAGATCTCCCACATATGCCACAAACCAACAATTTTGCTTCCACTGCTTTTGCTGAATCTTTCAAAGTCAAGTAATCTACTACATTCTTTTCCAAAGAAGATATTTGTGCTGATAGTTTGGAGATGGCATCTTTTGACGAACACCTGATGGCTTTTTGTATGTGGTTCTTTCGGAAGGCCACAAGGCATTGCTGCCTGCCATTATCTCATATAATTCCTCAACTTTATTGGGGACTTCAATGTGATATATCCATTTGTGATTGCTTCTATTGATGTATGACATGCTGATTTCAATTCAGTGTAGAAGTGTTGAACTTGCAAGGGTTTCTTAATGCCATGGTTAGGATATTTTCTGATCATATCTCTGAACTGTTCTTGTGTTTCATGAAAACTCTCTAATTCGACTTGCTGAAAGATGGAGATCTCATGTCTTAGTTTGGTTAATCTTGCTGGTGGGAAGTACTTGTGATGAACTAATGTATATGATCATCCCAAGTCCGCAATGCATCTCATGTGAGGGGATTCTGTTGGAAATAATACTGTGATTGAGGATATTACTCCTCAATCACAATCTTCCCATAACATGCCAATGCCAATCACGTAATTGAAGGAGGCCAATTTACACGGTTTCCATTTTATTTACACGATTTCCATTTCATTGTAAATTATTGATTTGTATTCCATTTATACTATATTGTAAAGCTCTATATAATGCAATACGATACACCACTGAAATTAAGGTGGATTTTTAATCATTCTTATGATATCAAAGCCAAGTGGTTTAACATACATACCACATATCCTCTTCTTCTTCTTCCCTTCATGGCTTCTGAAACTTCTGTCACCCTTCTTCCTTTCAATACCTTAATCCACATGATCATCATTAAACTTTCCTCCTCAAATTATCTTCTCTGGAAAGCCCAACTCCTCCATCTTCTTGAAAGTCAAGAATTATTAGGACATGTTGATGGCACCCTAGTGCAGCCCCCAAAACTTGACGCTACCACTTCTCTTACGCCAAGTGACAAATACCTAGCATGGAAAGCTATTGATCAGTGTCTCCTCAATTTGTTACTTTCCTCCCTCACAGAGGAAGCCATGGCTGAGGTAGTTGGCCTCTCCACCGCACGAGACGTGTGACTGGCACTAGAAAATGCATTTAGCCATTGTTCTAAAGTTTGAGAACTACGCCTTAAGGATGACTTGCAATTAATGAAACGTGGCAATAGATCGGTTGTTGAGTATGCCCATTCCTTCAAAGCAATTTGTGATCAACTACATGCAATTGGTTGTCTAGTTGATGGTACTGACAAGGTGCACTGGTTTCTCCGCGGGCTCGGTACTGATTTCTCTAGTTTCTCCATAGCACAAATGGCCCAAACTTCTCTACCTCATTTCCAGATTTAGTCTCAAAGGCCGAAAGTTTTGAAATTTTTTAGAAATCCCTTGACTCATCTTCTCTAGCAGCAACAACCTTTACTGTCACAAAAAATTCCACCCATCATGGTGGCTCTTCTCGTAGTCATCGGGGTCGCTTCGCTGGGCGTGGCAGTAGTTCATCTGGTCGTGGACAAGGACACTCCAACTACAGCCAATGGCGTCGTCCACCAAGATGCCAGATTTGCAGGATGGATGGCCACTTTGCCCATCGGTGCCTTCAACGCTATGATCGGAATGAGACACCAGCTCACCTTGCGGAAGCCTTCACGAGATCTTGTTCTCTAAATAAAGATGTGGGCTCTGACTGGTATTTGGATACAGGGGCTTCAGCCCATATGACCATGGATCACTCTAAATTGGATCAGGCCACAAATTACATGGGTAAGAATTGTGTGGTTGTTGGGAATGGTGCCTCACTACCCATTACCCATACTGGTAAAATTTTCCCTACCCCAAATCTACATCTTCTTGATGTCCTAGCTGTACCTCGCCTTACCAAGAATTTACTTTCCATCAGTAAATCAACATCAGATTTTCCTTTATCCGTTACCTTTACTAATAACATATTCACTGTACAGAATCGCAAAACAGGAAGGGTGGTGGCAACCGACAAGCATGATGGAGGCTTATATGTGCTTGAGCGAAGTCGTTCTACTTTTATTTCTATTCTTAAAAATAAATCGCTTCGTGCGTCCTATGATTTATGGCATGCACGACTTGGACATGTCAATCATTCTGTTATTTCTCTATTGAATAAAAAAGGCCAGCTTTATCTTACATCTTTGTTGCCTTCTCCAACTTTATGTGGCACATGTCAAATTGCTAAAAGTCATCGCTTGCCTTATTCTCGAAATGAACATAGGTCATCGAAAACACTTGATCTTATCCATTGTGACATTTAGGGTCCGTCTCTAGTCAAATCTAATTTAGGATTTGTCTATTATGTCATTTTTATCGATGACTATTCTCGTTTCATGTGGCTCTATCCTTTAAAATTGAAATCTGAATTTTATAATATTTTTATTCACTTTCAAAAATTTGTGGAAAATACTCCACTCGAATTAAAATTTTCCAAAGTGACGGCGGTGGTGAATTTACCAGTAATTTCTTCCAAGATCATCTCCTCTCTAGTGGCATTCACCATCAGCTCTCATGTCCAAACACACCCGCCCAAAATGGTCGTACTGAAAGAAAACATCACCATGTAACTGAGATGGGATTAGCACTCCTTTTTCACTCCCACATTTCTCCTCGCTTTTGGGTTGACGTGTTCAGCACTGCAGCTTACATCATCAACCGCTTGCCTACACCACTCCTTGGAGGTAAATCACCTTTTGAGATTTTGTGTGGTAACCCTCCGAACTATAAAAACTTTCACCCTTTTGGTTGTCGTGTGTATCCTTGCTTATGAGATTATATGCCTAACAAATTTTCTTCTCGCAGCATCCCATGTATTTTCTTAGGTTACAGTCCCTCTCACAAAGGGTTTCGTTGCCTCGAGCCTTCCATTTCTAGGCTCTATATTACTCGCTATGCTCAATTTGATGAAACTCATTTTCCTTCCATTGCTACCTCTCAAGCTCAACCCATATCCTCTCTTAACTTTTCCAATTTTCTAGAACCTAGCCTCACCCATGCAGATCCACCTCCCCCACTCCTTGACACTCGTTCTTCACAACTCACTCAATCCAATTCTAATCCATGTATTATCTGTACTGATCCAGTGATTGAGTCTTTGCAGGATCCTCATTCTCTTGCAGGTGCCTCTTTATAGACCTCGGTTCCAAGTTCATCTCCTCTTGAACCTGGTGCAGATCTCACACCTACTGCAGTGGTCCCACTGGCCACTCATCCTATGCTTACAAGAGCTAAAGCTGGCATTTTCAAGACTCGATATCCAGCCAATCTTAGTTTCTTAGGCTCTTCTGGTCTTCTTTCTGCTTTTTTTGCATCGACTGAGCCCAAAGGTTTCAAATCTGCTGTTAAGAATCCTGCTTGGCTTGTTGCCATGGATGAAGAAATTCATGCATTACAGAATAATCGCACCTGGGTTTTGGTACCTCGCCTTGCCAACACCAACATTGTGGGCTCCAAATGGGTATTCCGAACCAAATACTTACCTGATGGATCTGTTGAGCGCCTTAAAGCCCGCCTTGTTGTCAAAGGTTATACACAGGTCCCTGTTCTTAACTATACTGATACTTTTAGTCCCGTAATCAAGGCTACTACTGTTCAGGTTGTACTCTCTCTCGCTGTTACACAAAAATGGCCCCTTCATCAACTTGATGTCAAAAATGCATTCCTCAATGGTACTCTTACTGATCAAGTTTATATGGAACAGCCTCCAGGATATATTGATCCTCGCTTTCTAGACCATGTTTGCCAGTTGAAGAAAGCTCTTTATGGTCTCAAACAAGCCCTTCGTGCTTGATTTCAGCGCTTCAGCTCCTTTATTATTCGCCTTGGGTTTTCTTGCAGTCGTGCGGACACATCTCTATTTGTCTTTCATCAGAAGTCCGATATGATCTATTTACTTCTTTATGTTGATGATATCATTATTACAGGCAACAATTCTTCACTTCTTGCCCGCTTTACTCGTACACTTAACTCTGAGTTTGCCACTAAAGACTTAGGCTCTCTCAGCTATTTTCTTGGTCTTGAAGCCACTCTAACTTCTGATGGTCTCTTCATCAGTCAGCTCAAATATGCATGGGACATTCTTACTCGAGCTCAATTACTTGACAGTAAACCTGTTCACACGCCCATGGTTGTTTCTCAACATCTTTCTACTGATGGTTCTCTGTTTTTAGACCCTACTCTCTATAGATCCCTCGTCGGTGCACTACAATACTTGACTATCACAAGGCCCGACATTGCTCATGCTGTCAACTCTGTCAGTTAACTCTTACACGCTCCCACTGATGATCACTTTCTGGCTGTTAAACGTATCCTCCGCTATGTTAAAGGCACCATTCACTATGGCCTACATTTTCGGCCTTCCACTTCTCCTGGTGCTCTTGTAGCCTATTTTGATGCTGATTGGGCCAGCTGCCCGGATACTCGTCGTTCAACCTCTGGTTATTCTATCTATCTTGGCGACAATTTAGTTTCCTGGAGTGCCAAGAAACAGCCGACTGTCTCTCGTTCCAGCTGTGAATCTGAGTATCGGGCCCTTGCCTCCACTGCTGCTGAACTCATTTGGCTTGCACATCTCCTGCATGACCTCAAAGTATCCATGCCTCAGCAGCCCACTCTTTTATGTGACAACAAAAGTGCCATTTTTTTAAGCTCCAATCCGATTTCACACAAGCGGGCCAAGCATGTTGAATTGGACTACCACTTTCTTCGTGAGCTTGTTGTCATGGGAAAACTTCGTACACAATATGTCCCATCTCATCTACAAGTTGCTGATATCTTTACCAAGAGTGTTCCTCGACCTCTATTTGAGCTCTTTCGTTCCAAGCTCCATGTCCAATCAAATCCAACGTTGAGCTTGCGGGGGTGTTGGAAATAATACTGTGATTGAGGATATTACTCCTCAATCACAATCTTCCCATAGCATGCCAATGCCAATCACGTAATTGAAGGAGGCTAATTTACACGGTTTCCATTTCATTTACACTGTTTCCATTTCATTGTAAATTATTGATTTGTATTCCATTTATATAATGCAATACAATACACCACTGAAATTAAGGTGGATTTTTAATCATTCTTACTAAACCCTCGTACCATTTGAATAGTTGGGCTAGTATTTTTTTTTTCCTCCTCATATTTTTGGGACCTTCAGTCAATTGCGCTATAAAAATTAGAGAAAATTTATAACTACAAATATTTAAGAATGAATTTCAAAATTAACGAACTTGTTAAAAAATTTCAAAAATCGAGTCGTCACATTTGTGACCTCTATAAAATATTATGACATATAATTTAAAATGAATATAATACAATGAAATGCAACATGTGCGCTTTGATAGTAGAAGAGGGTAAGTAAGAACCTTTGGATGAAAAGACACGTGACCTCATCCTTGCAGTTGGGGCTTCTTGTCATAGGCATCAATCAGTCAAGCCTAAGCTCAAGTGCATTTAATATTATGACTATTTGCAGTCTTAGGCTTGACATGTAAGACTATACTTGTTTTGTTAATTTAGTAGAGCCTTCTATTCAATGAGTTGTCACATCATCCATGTAATACCTTAAATTTTTTTTTTTTTAAAAAAAAAAGTCAAACTTGTCAAACAAAAAAAAAGAAATTAAAAAAAAAAAAGAAAAAAGAAAAAGAAAGCTGCAGGCAATGCCCAAAACAAATCCATTCCCATTTGAATATATATACAATCCAAATCAATAAAAACACACACAACATATATTCAAAAGAAAATGAACCAGAGATAAAAAGGAAGAGAAAATAGAGAAAAAAAAGGGAAGAAGAAGATTAAGAAAAAGAAAAGAAGAGAAAGATTTCACCAACATGATAGAAAATAAGTTCTTTTACTATTAGGCTTGAATTCTTCAAAGTTAAAGGCGGCGATACAGATATCGAGACAGCTTACCAACTGAGTTGATTTTGCAAACATAGTTCTGTGAGTGGAAAACTATAAATATTTTTAAAATATTTATAAATTAAGTATATTATCAAAGTATGTGCAATTATGTGTTCGATTATATGATTATTATGGAAATTTCTTTTATTATGATATATATGATCATAAAGATTATTTATGGCACATTTGTGACTTGGTATGTAAGATATGTGATATTGAGATTTGTTTGGTATGTGAGACATGTAATATTGAGATCGACCAGAAAAGTACCAATGACTATATATTTCTTCTAGTTCACAGAGGGGCCTTGGCCGTATTCTATCCTATATGGAAGGGTCTTGACTGTGTACATATAGTTCACAGTAGGGTCTTGGCCATATTCTAGAATTAATTATGAGAGGTCTTTGAGATCGGCTTTCGTTCACGGAGGGGGCCAAAGGCCTATAGCGAAAGTTTTCAGCCTGAGAGGCGGATTACAGATTTCAGTCAAAGGGTACATTTTTGGTGAATTTTTCAGTATATTTGATAGGATGAGATTATAGTATGGTTATCAGTTGATATTTATAGCTTGACTTTGAGATGACATTTGTGACATACGTGAATATTTTACGTTTTGGCTATAATTATATGATGTTATCTTGCGAGTTATTCAATGATATGAACTCGATTTTGATAAAAATGTAAAATTTAAAAAGTATAAATATTTTCAAATTTCTCCACTCACTGAGCATCAACTCATATATTTTTGAATTTTTCAGTATATTTGATAGGATGAGATTATAGTATGGTTATCAGTTGATATTTATAGCTTGACTTTGAGATGACATTTGTGACATACGTGAATATTTTATGTTTTGGCTATAATTATATGATGTTATCTTGCGAGTTATTCAATGATATGAACTCGATTTTGATAAAAATGTAAAATTTAAAAAGTATAAATATTTTCAAATTTCTCCACTCACTGAGCATCAACTCATATATATATTTTTCCGTAATTTTTCCTACGGGTAACAATCGATTCTTTTTAGTTGGAAGAGTCTAATGATTTCGGAATGAGAGTCAAATTACATGTTGAGTGTTATAACTCATATTGATGAAGTACGAAGTAAATAATATGGGCCCATTACATTATGTCTTATATAAACATTTGATTTTGATACATTATTTTTAAAGTAATTCATAGTCAGTCTTGGTGATAGATTTGACATCTAGTCAGCATTTATCATCGGCGCACGTTACGTTTCGCGTCCACTAGGGTGATCCGGGACGGGTCTTGTCATATATAACCAAGTGGGCATAATCACCTTAACTTTTCTTGGAGCAACAACCAAAATAATCATCAGCAACCTCTACCTAGGTCCCAACAGCAAGAATAGAGAGCTTTTATGGAAGATATCTTGGATGAATTCACACTAGAGACGAAACAGTACATTGCAAAGAATGAAACAAGTTTACATAGTCATTCGGCAGCCATTAAAGGGTTGGAAACTGAAATAGGTTACCTCAGGGAGCCTTACCTAGCAACACGGAAACTAATATGAATGAGCAAGTGCTAGCTATCAGAGTTGATGAAGATGAGCAAATGGACACCTCACAACCGAGGACTACTACTAAACAAAGAGAATATATGCCTTCCTTTCCTTTTTACCAAAGACGTCAAAAGTGGATAGAGAGAAAGAGGATCAAAGTAATCACAACAAGAAATGGGGCATAGTTGCCTGAAATTACAGTCAAAAGACCACTTGCAAAGACAAATAAAGTGCCTACTATTGATGAGAGCAAGTGGATAAATCCAAAAAATCAACTGAGGAGATTTTGTAAGAGAATTAGGACAATCCACAGTCTAAGGCGGCAACTCCTGTAAGAGAATATGTACATCCCATCCATTTTCCACAAAGGTTGAAGAAACAAAAGCTAGACCATCAATTGGGAAACTTCTTGGATTTGCTAAAGAAGCTCCACATCAACATAACATTCATGGATGCAATTATATAGATTTCGACGTATGCAAGGTTCTTGAAAGAAAAGACATCAAAGAAATTACTTTAAAACTTTAGGATTCAGGGAGTTTAACTTTTCCTATTACACTTTGAAAAGATTATTCTTTTAATGCTTTACATGATACAGGTATGAGTGTTAATTTAATTCATTTATCTGTGTTCAGGAAATTTAGGACTATGAGAAGTACAAGAAACAATGGTGTCACTGCAGTTTGCCGAAGAGGCAAGGTTGAGGATGTACTCAACAAAGATGGAAAATTGATATTTCCGATAGACTTCATTGTTCTTCATATCTAAAGAAGACCGGGATATTCCAATAATATTTGATGGATCAATTTTAACAATTGTTCGAACCTTGATTGAGATGGGAAAATCTGAGCTAATCCTGATGGTGAAGGATGAGCAAGAAGTTTTCAATTTACAAACCTCAACCAAGCTACTATTGGAACTTGAGGAGTGTAACTGTGTTGATGAGGATGATCTATCTGTGCAAAAAAAGCTATTTGAAGAGAAAACTAAAATTTGGTCGAATTATTGGTAGAGATGAGAACCGAAGAATTCAAGGTTTGGAGAGTAAAAATAGAATGTAAGACCGAAAATTGCAAGTACAAGGTTGAAACAATCCGATTCGAGGCACCACGATTAATACTCGGCCAAAATCTAGCTCGGAATTATAAACAAAAAACTTAATTGGAAGTAACTCATTTTTTTTTCTGACCATTAACTCTTCGATTTTAATTATTGTATTGCATTATAAATTATACGATTGAATTTAGTATTTATGCACGTTTAATTATTGCCTGTCTAGAATTTTTATCTTTTTATTTTTTTAGGGTTTTCATCCTAGTCAATCATGGGAAAAGAAAGATTTTTTTTTTTTTTGAAATTCAGAAAAGAAAAACTGGAAAAATCGAAAAAAAAAAATCTTTGTTTTTTTAATAATTTTTAACTTCATATTTTCAAAATTCTCCCCCTCCACATATTTGACACCCAAATTTACGCAATTACCACTCATTATCAATATATTTGTATTTTAAAATAACGAAAAGTTCAAATTTCACTAAAAAAATATTATCAGTTATAATCATGAGATTTCTTTCTTGGAACTTTCTAATTTATTTATTATTATTATTTTTTTTTTGAACGGAGATAGATGTGTTAAGTTGTTGATATTTTATGCTTTTATTGAGATCTTGATTATGGTTACTTATTAATTGTTGCTAATATAACTTATAATTTTATTTGTAGATAATATTGACACAAAGAAAGAGAGATCCATTTTGAAGGAGGAGAAATGACAAAGGAAAACAAAAAGATACTACAAGTTTCAAGGCCAACTCTATTTTCCAACACTTATCAGTCGACTCTAAATTCTTTCTCTTTTTACTTAATTTCTATATTTTGAGCTTTATAGTGTTACATTGAGGACATCGTGGGAATTAAGTTTAGGATGAAAAATCTAGATTTTAGGTTTCTTTTAATTTAGTTTGCATGTCATTAATTTAGGTTTAATTTTGAGTCTTAAAACAAATCAATAAAATAAATATTTCTTTTTTTTGCCGTATTATGCATGCTTGTGTGAGACTTAACTTGAACAAATTAATTTATATCCAATGATGATAACAAAATTTGGACCGTTTCATTTGGACAATTGAATTTTATACTTAGCTTTTGAACAATTCGAGCACATAATCATTCTTGCACTTATGGTTGACTTCGTAGCAATCAACAACTTTAGAATCTTTTAAGACTTTAGAACATGTTTATTACACTAATCACCCCAATTAGAATCTTATTGAAAATACCTTTAGAATAAGTTTGAGAGTGATTAGATCCAACCAAAATAAAGAACATCACCACTTAATTATTTTGTAGTTCTTATCGTTGGCTCAAAAAGTGGAAGACATTGGATTAATCGTGGCACATAGGAAAAAGTTACTTATGTTGTAGTATTTAGCTAGTCTTGAGT